AAAAAGAAAAAGAAAAAACAAAAGAAAAAGACTTAAAGTGTTAAACTATTATTGCAATTTCCCCTACATAATAGGGACACCCTAATTCACCGAACTTAGTTCTTTGATGTTAAAGTCTAACCATCTTGACATCTCAATGCCAAGTTAAGCTCTTGGCACATGTAGATTGGGTTTTTGTTTAAACTGAGTATACCAATGCAATCAGGCAGTGCTCTGGGAACTTTTCAAGTGTGTTGATGTTTCTAGAGGCTGGAAGCACAATTTTGCTCCTCTAGAACATAAGCATGGGTCCAAGTTAGAAGCTTGGTTTTATGTGTATGTATGAATACATTGGCATTGCCAAGATTTAGGATTTATCAGATTGTCACTTGAGAGCTGAAATCTTCACTGAATGTGGCCAGATTCTTCACATCAGTGAAATTGGATGGGGAATGTATATGTGTTATTTTTATCTCTGGGGAGTATGCAGATAAGGTCATATGATCATCAGGCATTTAAGGTAATATGATCAGATTTAGGATATTAAAATTTTCACTTAACTATTTTCTTTTCTTTGTTAAAAAAATCACTTGATTTAAAAATATATCTGACAGTTTTCATGGAGAAACCTAACTAAGACTGAAAAGAAGTTTGTCAGTATAGATTAATTACAAATGTTGGATTACAGAAAAACAAAACAAAACTAAACTAAAAGGCACTTTTACTTATAGGCCAAAGAATAACGTAGAAAAGGATTTTCTTGCATCCACATGATAAACAGAATGTATTTAGCATTCAATGGCTACTGTATTTGAGAGTGTTTCTAAGGGACTTAAAGTTTTTTTTTAATATTTATTTATTTTTTAGTTGTAGTTGCACACAATACCTCTATTTATATGTGGTGCTGAGGATTGAACCCAGGGCCCCGCACATGCTAGGCTAGCGCTCTACCACTGAGCCACAACCCCAGCCTCCGGGACTTAAAGTTTTGAATAAATAGTTTTCTACCTTGAAGAAAGAAAGAAAGGGCTGGGGTTGAAATTTGAGAAATAGCAATTCACTAATATAATATAATTAGAATGTAGATTTTCAGATGGTTACATCTTCATTTCATTTATTATATTTTCAGATTTATCATCATCATCATCATCATCATCATCATCATCATCATCATCATAATTTTGGTATCAGGAATTGAACCCAGGTCCTTTAACCACTGATCCACATCCCCGGCACCCTCTCCCTTTTTAATATTTGAGACAGGGTTTTGCTAAATTGCTTAGGTCCTTGCTAAGTTCCTGAGACTGGCTTCAAACTTGTGATCCTGCTGCCTCAGCCTCCCAAGCTGTTGGGATTACAGTAGGTATGTGCCACTATGCCTGTCTATTTTTTCAGATGCTTTAGATATTTGTTGAGTTCAAATGCAAATAATATAGTATATCCACAGAGAGAATATTTTTAGAAAGAATATCTTTATATAAATATAGATTTTCTGTACATCAGTGCTATTTTAAAAAATGTTTAGCTATAGCTGGACACAATATCTTTATTTATTTCTATGTGGTGCTGAGGATTGAACCTGGTGCCTCACACATGCTAGGCAGGCACTCTACCACTGAGCTACAGCCCCAGCTCCATCAGTGCTATTTGAAACATTGATCTAAAAGGGTTCAGTGAGTATGTTTTTGTTAATGTCCTATGTCTGTGTCAAACTTTATCCTGCTTCTATCATCTGGAATCCAGCCTCAAACTTGGAAGTAAGTGGGAAAAAAACTTAGAGCACTAAGGAAAACAATCACCATAAAGATTGTCCACTAATATTGGAAGAATTAAAGAACCACTCTAGGCTCTATCCCAAAATGTATTGATTTATTTTTGGTTTCTAAATGGCTATAATGTCTGCAGATGTAACTCAGTAACAGAGTACTTGTCTAGCACAGGTAAGGTCCAGAGTCTGATCTCAAGCATGGTGGGGTGGGTGGAGAGTGTGATAATACTTTAACCATATAGTTCCCTAATTCATCAGGAAAATGATTTAAAGGGACAAATGGGGATAGTGGTATTGCTCAGTGGTGAAATGTTTGCCTGGCATGCATGAGGTCTGATCCCAGGGTTTGGGTTTGATCCCAGATACTGAAAAAAGAAAAAAGAAAAAAAAAAAGATAAGTAAAGAATCACTATTCATTCAACAAATAATTTTTAAGTGCCTACTATGCTCTAAGCATAATATTAAATGCTGGGAAAACAAAGATGAAAACGTAGAGAGGCAAACACGTCCTTAGACTGGTATAATAAGTAACACTAAAGAAAGCTATAAATCCCTATCTAATCATACTGTTCTACTTATGAGGGGAAGACAAGGCTTCTTGGAAGAGGTGACACTGAGTAAGTCTTGGGGATTGGGTAGGTTATAAAAGATCTTGGTGGTAAAGTACTTGCCTGGCATGGACAAAGCCCTGGGTTAATCCTCAGTATGGCAAAAAAGGAAAGGAAAGATTTCTCTCTCTCTCTCTCTCTCTCTCTCTCTCTCTCTCTCTCTCTCTCTCTCTCTCTCTCTCTTTCTTTCTTCTTTCGTACTGGGGATTTAACCCAGGGGTGCTTTACCACTTACCACTTAGCCACATCCCCAGCCCTTTTTATTTTGACACAGAGTCTCACTAAGTTGCTGAGACTGGTTTCAAACCTGTGATCCTCCTGCCTCAATCTCCCAAGTTGCTGGGATTATAGGCATGCATCACCTTGCTAGGAAAAATCTTGTCTCTTTGAGGAAGTTTCATGTGGCTAGAAATGTGACTAGACAGAGAGGCAGGGTCTGGATCTTGGGACTTGTTTTGGGTTGAATGTTATTTAATAAGTAATGGAGTGTCATCGAAGATTTTAAACTGGAAAATTAGTCCAGGATAAGTATTTAATTTTAAATGTTCCATCTAGGCCTTATTGTAATGTGACCAAAACAAGGAGCAGACAATGGGAGACCAGGTAGGAAACCTGCAATAATTCAGTCGAGCTATGATAATGGCTTAAATGATAGAGGTAAACCTAGAAATGGAGAGAAAGGAAGTGATTCAAGAGACTGTTAAACCACAGACTTGCCTAGACTTGTCATCTCATGGAGGAGAGGAGAAAGGGAGAGAAGACTCCATAGTGCATCCAGCTTTTTTGCTTGGCCAAACCAGGTGAATAATGCTGCTAAGATGAAGACCAGACAGTAGGTAATGGGTTTGGGGAGAAGGCAATGGCTTAATTCTTCACAGATAGAGCCTGAGGAGATGAGAACATTCTGAAAGTATCCACTGGGGAGCTTGATCTACCAGCTGGAGTTCAGGGACAGATTCAGGCTGAGACAGTCACTCTCAGCAGCTTCAAAAAACAGCAAGAGGCAGAGTAGATCTAAAGCTTGGAGATCATAAAATTCTGGAAACATTTGCGAGCAAACTGCCCTAGGTGCTGTTCAAGAGCTCCTGAAGTACTGAAGCATTTCCTGTCAGACAGCTCATCTTAGGGCAATACAGTAAGTCCATTCTCCAAAGAGGCCCCCCTGTCTCTTTGTGTGTGTGTGTGTGTGTGTGTATCCCCTGTCCCCCGCAGTGCTAGAGATCAAACCCAGGGCTCTACCACTGAGTTACATCCCTGTCAAGATGACATTTTAAAAGGTAAATCATTATATTACTCTTTGCTTAAAAGCCACTGGTAGATTCTCAGACTCATATCCAAACTATTTGGCACAGACCCATAAAGCTTTACTTTTAACCGGGCCCTGTCTACCTTTCTGACTACATCTCCTATCACAGGACCCCTAGTTAACACTGCAATCCAGACAGTCTGCTCGTCCCTCAGGGCCTTTGCACTTGCTTTTCCATGTCTGAAATGCTCTTTTCTGGGTCTTGCTGGCTGGCATCCCTCTCATCATTCAAACATCTCTGCTGAAATGTTCTACCATTCCCTATTCTCAACTCCATATACTCTTTACTATTGACTTTATAGCACTGACCATTATCTGAATGCATCTTGTTTATTTACTGTCTCTTGTATTGGAAATGGTGATGTGCAAAGGTAAATTTCCACATTAATTATTCCTTCTGGAAAACTGGAAAAATGGAATGGAACTGCATAGATGAAGGCCTTGAATTCCCATTGGCAAGTTTAATTTGCTAGTTTCTTAAGAGCCACAAAAGTTTTAAATGGGGCAGCTACTTTGTCAAATGTTTAAAAATATTTGAGTAAAATGTTATAAAATGTAACAATTCCATGATTCTGACCCTGTACTCATTTATCAAGACACTATTTCATTTAACTGGCTTAACTACTGGACACAAAGTTGCTAGATAAATGAGCAGAATAACAAAATATAAAAATGACTGACATAATTATCTGAAATCAATCTTATGTTTTAATTAGTTTTGTAATAGACTTGTACAGTTGGTCCCCAATCTACTTTTACTCTCCCCTTTTTCAGTGAAGGGCATTGTAGGTCAGATGTCACAGAATTTTAAAATTAGGACCAAACTCTACCAAGGCCTAGGTCTTCTACATTCAGCAGCAATGCAGTTTTGCCCGTAACTTTCAAACTGGTGTAACCAGACTTGGGCTAATGGTAGTGCCCTAGGGATAGGTAATGTTGAGCTCTTTTAATTGATTTGGGAACAGACTTTCAGTTTAACCCCATACAGTATACCTACTGTATGCCAGCTACCACACTGAGCTCTTGGGACACAAAAATGAGTAAGGCACATTTCTCCCTTCTAAGGCTAAAATGTAATAGTTTAGCTCTGAGTGTGTGGTACAGTTAAGTGAATTGCATAATTCTGTACAAAGATCAGATATTATTTTCCGAAATGTCTCCAACTGGTCTCATAAGTATTTGCCAGTCTTTGAAATGCTTATGCGTGTGCTTTCCTACTCTTCTCTGCTTTTTCAGTGACAAAGCCAATATTACTTCCCATTTCTTGCCTAGTAAGATGGGTTACTCACATTTAAAAACACCATGTTCTTCAAATAACTTTTTTTTTTTCAGCACAGGATATGTATAAATATAAAGTTTATTTAGCATAGTGTTTAGAAAAATAAGTTCACATCATTTCAGAAAACAAATAAAACACTTAATTGTCCAGGCATAAACCCCCATTACAGTACAACATACATACTTTAGATCTCTTTGGTTGGGTAATTAAGCACAGAAATGTTCTGGGACATGCTCTGTGTGCCATCACCTAACAGTGCAGTAAAGACTCTGTTCCCCCACCCCATGATATACATTCTGTATAGAGTTTCTTTGTGTAAGGCACAGTAAAACCATTTTGAGTACATAACTGATTGCCTCTGAACATATAGTACATGCAACAAAAGAATAAAAAATTTTTGAGAACCCTGAAAGCCAAAAGAATCACATGCTATATAATTTTGACTAATAAAGTGTATGGTGGTAATATTTAATTAACTTGAAATGTATCAGTTAGATACAAAATAACTGTTAGACACTATCATCTAAGTAGTAGATGACTTTGAAACATCTTTTGTAAAATATATTTCTTTTCCCTACATTTTCCTGAATTATTTTTATATGAGATGATCTGTTAACACAGTTTAAAGAATGTTAAGTACTGGTAGCTATGTACTAAAGCACACTCTCTAGGATGTAGCAGGGCAGGTTGCTGCTACACATGCCCAATTATCCAACTTTTAACATGCAAGATACAAGGGCACATACAGGGAGATTTAAGGTCAGTGTGCAATTTAACTATTTTTTTTTTAATCTATGGCTAAAACATCTACCTGCCTTTCACAACATAAGAAAGGCACTAGAGTGTGTGATTAATTCAGAGTCTTTACTATAATTACACATGAGATATAATGCAGTATAACCCAGGTGCTCTTGCTTAAGAAACAAATACACCTTCTATTTAAACAATAGACTGTCCTTTACTAGATATGACTAAGAGCAAAATGCCAAATTCTGGCTGATAGAGTGCATAGATAGGCTCACACCAAAAATCCCAAAAGCCAGCAGCAGGGGTTGGGATTTGAAGGGTTATTTGCCCCATTCCAATTCTTCTTTGGGGCCACTAGAGGGTCATCTGTAGCATCTTCAAGCATTGGTTTATGTAAGGATATTCTGCCACATGAACTCCAAGGGTTCTGAGTCTGGCCCTTGTTATTGCAAAAAAATAAAAATAAAAAAACAAAAAAATTTGCAATTCTGTGCAAGGAGATCATGGGGTTTATCTTATTCCATTCACATATACATGGGCTACATGCCAACTGGCCCTTACTTTACTGAAAGAATAGAAAAGAACAATAAGTTCTTTGCAATGTGCATTGATTCTTAACCTGGTATATTGTGTAGCTACCTAGAATAACTGTAGGGTTATTATTATATCATGTTGAAAATATAAAGGGGTTTCCTAGGTAAGTCTTAAGTTTTGTGCTATCTTTTTCATAAGGGGAGAAGAAGAACTCTAAATAAAAGGCTTATATTTTTGGAAGACATATAAAAATTTTCCAGTTACATATGTGCCATATATAACTTTTAAAACCTGCTTATCTCCCTTACTAGATGGGTAGTTTTAAATAATTAACAAACTCTTGATAGCTGCAGTAATCAAATGGAAAACATCATTTTTATGTACACTACAGTACAGAGCCATGTAATTAATCTTGATAACACAGAACCAAAGAAAAAGAAAGCTGTATAAGTAAGTAGTGGTAGAATGGAAGAGAGCTCTAAAACACCTGACTTTGTAAAAACCAAGGCAAAAAACAGTTTCAGCAGCTTAGGAATAGTCACTAATTTCATTAAAAAAAAAAAAAAAAAAGATGTAGTAAGTTCTTTATCAAAATGAAGGGAGAGGAATTCTTCATAGGTGTTTTCATCTATGCCTGTGATTTACATTTGCAATAATAGCAAAAGTTAAGTACTCTATGGCCCTTATTCAATGTGCTCCACTGAGGGGCATGCAGAGCTCTAGAGAGGACCCTTTGTCCACATCTTAAAGTAAACAAGATGTAACATTTTTATGTTTAACAACTTTAAGTCCTCACTGAAGAGACCATTTTTCACTTTTCTGGCTTTTTAGAGGCCAGAGGTAACTTTATTTACTATATAAATGAATTGCATTATTACATCTTGCATTCAGAGTCCTGATAAACATAAACATTATCAAGCAAACTTAAAGAAAACCCCCAAAATTTACTTTTACAAAAGACTTGTTAATATAGTGCAAAGAGTCATGTGTTATAGTGTAATAACTAATTCAAGACACTAAGAATGAAATTTCGATGGGACAGAATTTTGCTCAATAGGAAAAAAAAATTACATATTTTTTTCTTTAACATTTTTGTTTTCCTGGCTGCATAATTGATTTTACATGGTCTTCTACAGTTTATTTTCACTGTAATGAAAATCATCAATAATAATTGATCCATTTGCATGATAATCATAACACATATTATTTAGTGAAACTTAAGTTCTCCAGACTTAAAGCAATTGGGATGAAATTGACCCTGTTAGATAGTAGAAAAGAATCATCAGTGCTTTTGTTGACACTTCTGTATCTCACTACTAATAAAAAGGCCACAAGGTAAAAAGGCACATAGAATTCTATATAAAACATATTTAAATGAACTGTGTTGCTAAATAAAGAACAAAGGTATGAAAAAAGTACCAAAATTCCAATATTGGGAGTTAGAGTTCCTGTTTCAGTGTTATTAATATTGACCTTAATAGACTCCTGATAAAAATCATTGTTTTAAAAATTCTACAAAAAAGTAAAACTTTGTTGGAAACAATGATGTTCGCTTCCTGTTCAAACAATAAAAATAAATTAAACAGTAAGAAAACATTTTTCTTTTCAGTTTATAACGCCTGAAGTATAAGAGAAACATACACAGTATAAATAAAATTCACCGTACTTACTCAAATCCTACTTACAGAACTGATATATTTACATTCATACTGAAGTGTTTCAGAGTTTTTGTGGAGGTTCAAACTTCCTCAGCCACAGTGAACTGTTAGCAATAATATTTGGAAATGTGTAGAGACTTAACCAAGACTTCCTCAAAAACGCTGAAAGAGAAATGTGTGTACGTACATACATATACATATGTATAATGTTTTAAGCTACTTAACCTTAAAAAAAAAAAACACTCTTAAAATAGTTTGCAGTACCATTTGTTTCTTAACCTTATCAATGCCCATGGAGTAAAAGTAAACAAAAACAATTGCATTGTTTCTAACAGTCTTTAGCTATACTTAATTCTGTTAGGTGTATGCATTTTTAATTTAAAAAACTATAAAGTTCTATTTTGACCTTAGAATGATATTGCCAACTAAATGATATACTCTGACTTGATACGTTTCATCTTGTTCCTTTGTCTCCATCTATTTAAAAGAGAACATTATGTGTGAACAAAAAAGCTGCAGTAATGCAGTTCTACGATTGTATTTTTAACTGATCTTCATGCAGATCAATCCAAAGTTTCTTGAATGCATTTACTTGCAAAAGTAGAATATTTTCCTTTCAATGGAAAATGTTTTGTCTTGGGGCTTCATGAAAAGATTTGCTGCTGATGCCAAAAAAAGGGTTTGGGGATAAAGTTTATAAGTCTTGCATATCTTCATCCAACTGGACAGTTTGGAGCTTGGCAAGCTCTTTTTTGTCTGTTTCCAGGTCTTCACAGACAGTTTCAACCATGCTATCTAGGACATACTTGGATTTGGAGTCCAGCATCATTAAGCTGCTTGTTGCTTTACTCTCAGAATTTTGTAAGAAATTCTCTTTTATGTTAGCTACTGATTGCAGAACCAAACGATGTTCTCTGACAAAATCCTGGTGTACTGCTGGGGAGGCATGACCCACCTGGTCTTCAGCAGCAGGAACTATTTCTCCAAGGGCAGCCTGAGTCATAGGGACTGACAATAGGTCTTGGCTAGTAGTAAGGGAGCAGTTCTGAAGAGTTGCATAGTTAGTGTTGCTGACAGATGTCACAGTAGATTTGTTTGCCACAGGTGCAGACATTGGCTGGCTATCAGCAATGTCAGGGTTTAGCTCGGTGGGATTTAGTAGTGTAGGGGGAGTCAGGGAAAAATTGTGAGCTGGGGATACATTAACTAATGAGGAGGCCAGTGAATGGAGGCCACTCCCCGAGATATTTTCAGAAGACAGATTTGCATTTACTTGTGCATTCTGATTGACAGGCATCAACTGACTGAATACCAGGCTCCTTTCCAAATTTTCCTGTTTCACAGATCCTACAGTCTGGCCTGAATTAGGAACAGTGTATACCACTGCACTGGGAGCAATAGAGCTCAAGAAAACCTTTCCTTGCTGGACTGTGGCAGACTCACTTGTAAATGTGCCCCCATCCGAAGTGCTTGAGTTTACTGAAATATTACCTAGGAAAAAATAAAGTAATGATTAGCATTGATGGAAGTGATAGGGAAAGAGAAAAAAATCACTTCTTTACCCATGTGATTTTTTTTCTTCAGGAATAGTTGTCTAGCAAAGTGAAACTTCTATGTAATAATGCAGCCCAATCATGGTTCAGAATCACCTTCATTCAGCACTTGAAACTATAGCTTTATGCTAAGTTAAAAAAAAACTATATATCTATGTCAAAATATTATATATATCAAGTTGGTTCATTATTATCAACTGATATCTGTTAATTAGTTGATAATTATTGCTAGCACTGCCAGTGCAACTAGAAAACATAAATGCAAAATAAAATGCCTTTGCTTTGGACTGCTCAATGACTGACATAAAATGGAAATGTAGAAAATACCACATAAAATGAGTTTCCCTGAGGCTTACAAGTTAACCACATAAACCTGTACAGACAAGTTGCAGACTTTCACCAAACTAGCCATAAAGTAATGTGAAGTCAACAAAACACTCAAAAGGATTTTTTCTTCTGTTGTTGAGCCAGCTCTCAATTTTCAGTGTTGTAGTGATAGGAAAAATTAATGATTACACTGAAATCTGCTTTTAAAAATACATATTAACATAAAGGATCAGAACTAATGTGTCTCTAAAAGGTTTGTATCGTTTGAGACTGTCACTATAATGGTCTGTAGAGAAAAAGAAATGTAAGTGGAAAAGTTAGAAGATGTTCAAATCAGATAACTCAGGCAGTGTAGATGAATTGGATACCCCATCTTCATCAAATATATATATATATATATATCTCCACCACGCCCCACCCCCCGAGTCTTTACAAGGGAAAAGAGAAATGATGGTAATCAGATGATTTAGGTCCCTAGATACTGCTATTGAAGGAGAGATGCATTTGGGGCAAGAGATGCATTTGTGACAGAATTCAGATGTGCTATTTGTTTACCCTGCCTCTGAATAAGATGTCAGCTCTTTAGTATTTGCGAAAATGGCCTAATGTTAAATTAGGGAATTATTTCTGAATTATTTCTGAATTATTTCTCTTTTTGAATTATTAGAATAATTGTGAATTATTACAGAGGCTGTTTATATGTGTTCCAAACATTTTTAAGCACCCTAATGCCAAGAAATGTCTTTAAATGAGAGAGAGAGAGAAAGAGGTGCAGACACAGATAGTGTATTTGAAGTCCTATGTAACTGTTACAAAATTTCATCATAGAAATACTGATGTTAAGAAAATAATTTCTGGCTGGGGCTGTAGTTCAGTGGCAGAGTGCTTGCCTAGCACGTGTGAGGTACTGGGTTCGATCCTTAGCACCACATAAAGAGAAACAAATAAAATAAAGGCATTCCATCTACAACTATAAAAAGTTGAAGAAAAAGAAAAAGAAGAAAGAAAAAGAAAAAGAAGAAAGAAAAAAAAAACATTTCTAGGTATATTTGGGCTATTTCCTAACATGAATGTTTGTTTAGGCTCTACAAATGATAAAAAAAAAAGTGCTTTTATATGAAAACATTTGGCTTCAACGTATGCTCTAAAATTCTTGTAGGTTGGTAGACTTTAGCAAAAACCATCTGAAAGAGATGTTTACTTTGTGTATGCGTGCTTGTGAAATTATTTACCAGTGTATATGTGCAAAAACAATTTTTTTTAATAGAGACAACATAACACATGAAACATTTTCCCAATGGCTATTGAATACAAGTAAAATAATACTTCTGTAAGTATAAAAACTATACTATATACAAATGAAAGGGGAAAGGCAGATATAATCTAAAAATGATTTTTAAGTACAACTGCAACTGAGTTTATTAAACATTAATTTTAAAATCATTAAAACTCCAAAGTACAAAGTAAATCTTTATAATGATGGTAAGAAAAGAAACCCCTTATTTTTTCAGATTTTTAATAAATATAAGATACAGATACTCTACTTTCTCATTTAAACCCTAATAATAGAAAGGTTAAGTTTACCTTATCTAGACATTTGAAACAAGGCTCTATGTGTTTTTGAGAAGTCATATCCCCAAAATGCTTTCTTAAGAACTGTAATACACACTACTATAAAGGAATTTGCTCACTGGACCCTTCTAGTTAATTAATCTCATGCCCTCAATTCACAGACAGTTTAAGGATTGACAGCCCTGTCTTTTAGCTATTTTAACTGAAAATGCTACTCTTATTCTATTTTTTTAAATTCTTATTTTTTATTATGTATAACAGCAGAATGCATTACAATTCTTATTACATATGTAGGGCACAATTTTTCATAATCTCTGGTTGTATACACTTTTATTCTTATTAAATGTCCCACTTAAAAAAATAATAACTATGGAACATTTAAAAAGTTAGATACTAGTTCATAATAATTTTCTGTGGTAGCACTTTTCTAGACTATAACTAACAAACATTTTAAACTTTTCTCCTCTTCCAATATACATACTCACTTTTTGTTAAAAGCTTTTGTTTTTAAATGTTACCTATTTTTGGAAATTTGCCTAAAGAGGGAAAAGGGGTTAGAGCCACATTATTGTAAAACTAAACACTTTGGCTTTTTCTGTGGCTTTCATATTTTGGCCCTAGCTGCAACAATGAACACTGAACAGTATGCTGCAGGGCTGTCATGTCTGACTAACATTTTGCTTAAAGAGAAACAAAGAAATTTACAATCATTTTCCCATTAGTGCTTCCAATAAGCTGAAGTAGATCATAGCTGTGGAAACAACAGGACTGTTCATAAATTGCCTAATTTCTTTCTTTTTTAAAAAAGTTAGATATGGTCCTTTTTTTTCCCCTTCACTTTTTATTTTTTTATTTTCATGTGGTGCTGAGAATTGAACCCAGGGCCCCAAGCATGCAAGGCAAGTGCTCTACCACTGAGCCATGACCCCAGCCCTAATTTTTTTTTTCTTTTTGGTAAAAATCATAGAAAGCTGAAAAGCTGACTTTGAAGGCCAGCAATCAATTAAAAATTTGTACTTTCAGATTTGCTTATAGAAAGGTAAACATGCATCAACATCTTCCACTCTTGAATTCAAGGGACCATGTAACCTCCACTGTCAAATTCTAACTATTCTTATTTCTCTACAACGACAAATGATCCAGACTTGGTTAAAGTCAGTGAAAAACTGGCATATTAGCTTAGGCTTTCTCAAATTTGAGATGAGTGCTTTCTCTAGAAGATTACTGGTAGTAAAGTCACAAATATATATCAATAAGGCTTATAGTTGTTTTCATAAATAAACTTGCACATTTAGGGGGTGAGTATATATCCTAACAGAAATCCAATCACATATTCTTCTGATTTTAAGTCATTTTAAGTTGTAGTCTTAATTATAGGGGGAACGTGATTCAAACAAAACTGATATAGTCTTTTTTGTTTGTTCATTTAAAACTATTTTGTTCAATAATGCTTAGGTAAAGCATATATATGCTTATCAACTGCTCAACTCATTTTTACATTCTTAGCAGTTTTATTCATTTTTAATTTAAAAAATGTCAAGTAATGGATACCACTACTTATTTTGTAAGCACTGATTGACATATTTTTGTAACTAGAATTGGTAAGACTTATGAATTATATTTTCCATTCAGTTTTTGGAAAATAAAATCTTATCCCACAATGCAAGGAAATGAAGCAAGCTGTGTGTATTACATGGGTGTTGTGAAGGAAAATTATATCAGGTTGTTCTGCAGCTGTGGAGTTAATGAGGTACCTGAATAGTAACATCAATCTATAGCTCTCACTAAATATGCCATTTTCAGCAGCAGCCCAACACATTCGCTGGTGCATTATGGTACCAAATGAGGTTTTTACCTTGTGAAGCTGCCACTGAGACAGGAGGCAGCTGCAGTGGAGAGAATCCAATGCTCCCATTAAGGAAGTGGCCGTTTGCTCCGGAATTAGGGATCTGGACAATGCCATATTGGTTAATTTGCACTGGTGTAGTAAAAGTCACTACGGAGCTTCCCTCCTGGGAAGTCACTGTTTGAATGCCTTCTCTTTTCACCTCAGTGCTGGGTATCAGCCCTGGGAATGACACGGGGGCACTGGGGCTATAGGAGTTGGTGGCTGCTGAGTTAGCAGCAGAACTCTGGAGGACTTTAAATTCCTTCACATCCTGGGAGGTAGATCCCAGTATGTCAGTCATGGCTACACCATTGCTCAAAATGTTTGAAGACAGTTTTGGTGGGTTCAATGACACTGTCTGTGTATTTCCCACATTTAATCCATTAAGGATAACTCCATTGGGTCCCTGAATAAAAGAATTACCATTAAGGAAGACAGGTGAAGTACTTGCAGGTACCAAGCTTCCATTCAACAAAACTCCAGAAGAGCTTAGTATCTTAGTATTTCCAATTTGTTGCATATATACTGGCTCCATGTGACTGGAAAGGCTGAGGTTGGTGACACCATCTGATGAACCTGAGAGTGGGTGAGGAGACAAATCTTCATGTCCCTTGCTGGATTCATCTTCAGTGCTGGGATTTCCATCTGACTCACTGTACAGAGGAAGAGAAAATCAAGACATTCAGAAGGTCAGGGGGATGACATTCTACATGGTGCCATTTGTTTAGAAAATAACTTCTAAACCCATTAAGGGTAGTATTTAAGGAAAGCACAGCAGGATGTCTACTAGTCCTGTTAAAATTATGAGACCTTTCAGCAGTTTCTGACCAGGGAATCAGGAAAGATAAATTCTCAGATCCTAATCATTTTTAATATATTTTAAGGGAAAGGCCAGAGACCTGGAAGATGTAAATTTAGCTAACAGAATTTACAGAATAGTTATGTATTTTTGTTTTTTATAGCACTGATGTGCTATTCCTCACTGGGAAATATGCTGCTACTTATATCACAGGAAATCTCATTAAATGAAGTGATCAGTTTTTCCTGTTTAGGAACGCTTCCCCTCCCCTCTATTCAGATTAGTGTTAGAGGTAGGTGAAACTGCCAAAGGAGCAGAAGGTGTGAAGTGTTCAGCTTTATTCACCATTAGTTAACAAGAGACCATTTTCTCACCTGCTCCCAAACTTCTACTCCACCAGACAACTCTCTCATTCAACAAAGAGGCTGTCCTTGTTGTAGGAAAGACACTTTCAACCCAAGAACAGTTATGTGCAGTCGCCTTTGAATCCAAAGGAAGCCATAGGGACCTATTTAACAAACACCATCCAGTGCCCTGGTGAGGTGGGAGGCAAAGGGTGTGGGTCATTCAGCGGCCTGGTAACTATCAGACCCCTTCCCAGAGTCCTCAATCCTGTTCCAGGCATGACTGTAATCTTTTGCTCCCAGACTTGGGGGAGATACCAAATTGGGGCTGGAGATTGGTGGTGGACTTTTTCCCCCATTTGGCTAGAGAGGCTGGGTAGATGGAGCAGGACAGAGGCAGTTTGGAAGCGTGTTGTGGGACTTGGCCCAGTAGATGATCTGACATCCCAGTAGTGGCCCGCGCGCGGTTCGCTTTCATGCTGAGGGGAGGGGATTACCCAGGCTTTGGGCTGCGGGGCCAGAGCGCGGAAAGCCCTTTGATTTACGAGCTGAGGCTGAGCAGCCGTCGCCGTCTGCGAGGGTGACTCACGGGGGTGCGGGTGGGTGGTAGATCCGGAGAGGGGCCTAAACCAAGCAACTAGGGGAGTGGGGCGTGGAGTTAGGGGGGAGAGGGGTGATGTTGGTATTCTGGCTTGAGGGTAGAGGGAGACTCGGGGAACGCGCCCAGTTTAGGAAGGGAGGCTGCAAGGCAGCTGGCCTGCGCACTGTGCCCGCTCACCGCCCTCTGATCCCCTGCCTAGCAGATTCTGCTGGTGCCTGGGCGCGGGGATCCGCGGCCTCTAGCGGGCAGGTGGCATGGCCTAACCAACGGGCTTTTTCTGGGTCCCTCCGCAAGTTTGCGGAAGGGTGCTCTCAGTCTCGGTGCGCGTTTTGTTTTGGTTACCGCGAGGCCGGGCTAGGACACAGAGCCTCTCTCTCTGCCTTGGGTGAGGCACTCGGCAGCCGTCGGGCCCCCACCGGGTTCTACGGGCAGGAGCTGTAAGGGCGGGCCGCGGCGGGCTCTGGAATGCGCCAGGTGATCACCTTCACCTGGCCCAGACGGGCTGGCTTCCCGACTCCCAGATTCCTTCTCTGAGCGTAACCTTCGAGCAGAGTTTGGATTCTTTCTCTCCAATCCCCGGAGGGCTGGAGATGCGATCTCTTTAGACGACCTTTTCCTTACTTTACCTCATCCAACAATATATACATACATGCGCGCGCGTACACACACACACACCCCAAGTGTATAACTCCTGAGGACACACAAAAGAGGTGGAAAACCCGATATTTCTTTTGGAGAGGGGAAAAACCTGTCAGTCAAAAAGTTCAAGCCCAACAGGGTGGGAGCTCAAGGAGGGGCTGAATTGATAGCGCCCCTTCTTTCCCGCTGTCCGCCTATGCCAGCCAGTCCCCCACCTCCCAACTACGGTACCAGTAGAGAACCACGCAGTTAGGGGGCCCAGAAAGGGGCCCCAGCAGCCCCGCAATCCCTACCGCGCTGAAACCCGATCCGAATTTGTTCAGAATCAGGTTTCAAAACACAGCACAGCCGAGCCGCCCCGGCACCCCACGTTGCGGCGGTCTCGAAAGGAACCACAACCGGCAGGGTGAATGATTAACTCTGTCACGTTAAAACCTCGACGTCCTCAGACCCCTTCTGGGTCGCCAGCCCCCACTAATGTTCTCTTCCCCTCAGGGCTTCCCAGCTGACCTCCAAGGAAGACCCGGAGGCAGCCGAGCCCCGGGGATACTGAGTGTGCGCACGACAGGCCGGGTGTGACCCAGCGGAGGTGCGGACCCGGCAGGCGCTCGGTTGCCTTCGCGGGCCTCAAGCGGCTGCGAGAGTTGCCCTGCCAGCGTCCGCACGCCCCTCCTTCGCCCGGCCAGAACCCAAGGAGAGAGTGGCAACTTCAAAGCCAGCGGGATGGGGGTGGGAAGCCGGGCAGCGGTGACCAGCCGAGGTGGGGGCGGGGACTGAGACCTAGGCAGGCGACGAGAAACTTCTGGGGGCAGGAGGGGGAGGGTGAGGAGGGAGGTTCCCTCCGCCCCTTGCTACAGCCGCCCCCTGCTCCGGGTCTGGGAGCGAGGTGGGGGGCGGGGAGAGGTGGGCAGCCGGACCCGGCTGGTGGGGAAGGTAAGCGCCATGTTTGCGAGCACTTGGAGGAAAAGAAAGCCGGGAAGGGGGTGGGGGAGAGGAAGGGGGAGGAGGAGGAAAGTTGGCGCTCACCTTTTGGACTGGGTCTCCGAGGGGTTCCGGTCGCGCTGCCGGCGGTTCTTGAACCAGTTGCTGACCTGGGTGAGGGAGAGGCCGGTGATCTTGGCCAGGTGCCGCTTCTCGGCGGGCGAAGGGTAGCGATTCTGCTTGTAGAGCTCCTTGAGCGCGTTGCGCGACTTCTCCTTGAAACAATACACCGTCTCCTCGCCGTCCCAGATGGTGCGGGGCAGGGGGAATTTCCTACGTAGCCGGTACTTGTCCACGGCGCCCAGCGGCCGGCCGCGGGCTCGCTCGGCCTCCGTGTAGCGCGCCTTGTACCAGAGCTGCTGCAGCAGCGGGTGGTTGGCCGACTCGAAGCTGTGGCTCTCGAGGATGCTGTAGAGCTCAGGGTAGATGCCCTGGTGGAAGGCCACGAGCGCCCGCGCCTTCAGCAGGCTCTCGTTGCCACGTAGCAGGTCGCTCTGGGGCAGGGACCACAGGAACCGGGCCAGGCGGTCCAGGTTGCCCCCCTGCTGCAGCGCCTCGCACACGCAGGCGACATGGTCCGGCGAGAAGGCCAGCGGGGTCTGTGCGGTGGTGCTGGCGGCGGCGTGGTGGTGCCTGCCCAGAAGTTCCGAGTGGAGTTGTACCTGATCCGCCGCCGCTCCGGCCGCCGCCGCCACTGCCCCTTCCTCTCCACTCACCCTGGCGGCGGCGGCCGCGGCGTCCCCCGGCTCCAGGGGGAAAGGGACTGGAGCCGGGGGGCTCAGCCCCGCCACCGCGCCCCCCGCCACTTCTCGGTGCGCCTCCTGCCCTTCCGAGGCGCTTTCCATCCCATTCTCCTGCTTGATGTCCGCCGCACTTGCAATCTGCCCGGTGGGGGAGGAAGAGGACATTTTTTGTTGTTTATTTTCCTCCCTCCCTCACTCCCTCGCACTCTTTTCCTCTTTCTTTCCCCCTCTCTTACTCCTCCTCCTTCGTCTCCCTCCCCCTCCCCCCCTCCGGAAAGCCCACTCCCTCCCTCCCGGTTTCGGCTGGATCTGGCCGATCAGGTTTCCCCCCGGCCACGCAGTCACCATTAAGATAGCTGCTAGAGCAAAGTAGTGTAAACGGATAGCTGCTTTCTGCCGTTCCCCCAACGTGACTCCTCCGGTTGCTGCATACTATATGGCACTGGCGGCCCGGCCGGCCTGGCCGCGCCACCTCATTGGCTATTTCGCATTCAGAGGGAGGAGGAGACACTGTGTCTATCCCTGTCGATCACCCGCCTCCTACTCCACCCCTTGCCTTTCCCTCTGCTCCTGACCCCCAGGCACCTATACCTGAAGGCAAGCACCAACATTCTTTTCTGGCTGTGCTGCTGTACGGGCAGTTACCTAATGTACCCTGAAAACTGGACAACTCTTTCAAAGAAAGATCCTGTGATTCCAGAGGGCACATTAGTTGTGTGGCCTTATGGTCTGGACGGCTGAACAAAGAGACACCCTCAGCATCTAGATGACAGAACTTCAGAGGACAATTCAGAAGCTTCTCAGTATGTCTCCACAATCCCACCCCCTTGATGTTTTTGTCAAGGATTTGTATTCAAAAGGGTCCAGGATTGAATGGCACTGGAGAATATTCTGTGGGGGCAAGCACTTAGAGTAAATTAAAATTTCAAAGGAGGAAAATGTTTGAAAACTTTGAAGTAAATGGTGTGAGCAGCCCACTGAAAAGGCGAAAAGAAGAAACCTTTTTTTTTTTTTTTAAATGTGCTTAACCTTGTCACTTGAAGGACTGGCAATCCAACTGGGATGAACATGATGTAATTAAGCATACAGAATATTAAACCTTATGTTTATCCTGGATACATCGTGTAAAAGAGATCTAAGCTTAGAATTATAACAGTCGGAAATTTAAGTCTTAGAATATTTTTAATATAAATGTATAAATACTGCCCCACCCCCACCTGGGTGCTGGGGATGTATAAATAGTTTCTGGATAAATAGTTCCTTTTCTGAAGATGATATTTCTGGAAGAAACACCATTCTTTACTTTATGAGTGGTGTCGTCGAGGAGATCAGTGCAGGATCAGCAGCTCTCTCCAAACACAGATAGATGGAAGATTGCCCTCTGGTCTGAGGCTGAGTGTGTGGGGTGCAGTCTGTTGCTGTTTTCAGTTGTGTCTCTTCTTCAAGGTTTGCTTGAGGTCCTAACTCGGGGATAAACCCATTTCTGCCTCTGACTACTGGGGGTCAACTGGATCTGGCAGCTGCTGCTCTTTCTCAGAATCCAACCTTTTAATGACATCATCCTAACCTTTACTTCAGGATGGCCTTGCATCCTTCCTGCTTCCCAACTAGCCATAACTGCCTACTGCAGCACATTATAAACAGCTGGTTAGGTCACCTGCTGTCATGATCAGCTTGATGAGAGGTTTCTTTATTACTGTGGGGCTGCATTTTATTGCTGGTCAACCAAGATGTCATTTGACATAGTATTTAATTTGTTTTTATATTAACCTAATCTGATGAAGCCAGAAGTGATGTCTTTGGTAGATTTAAAATTCATAGTCACAGGAAAAACCACTTGCTTCTACTCTTTTGGAAACATCCAGTTAGGTATCAAGCTTCAGGACAATACCTGAGGTTCAAATTTTTCTTTAATTTTTTAAATCATACTTTTTACTTTGGAATAATTTTGCCTTAGTGGAAAAATCACAAAAATACATAGAGTTCCCACTTCCTCTTCACATGGTTGCCTCTAATGTTAACATCTTAGATTAGAAGGGTACATTTGCCTGAACAAATTAACATCAGCACATTACTACTTGTTAAATTCTAGACTTTATTTGGATTTCAGTAGTTTTTCTATTAATGTCTGCTTTCTGTTTCATAATCCAGTATAGGATACATATTGCATTTAGTTTCTTGAATATTTATTTATTTATTTATTTCAATATTGGGGATTGAACCCAGTGGCACTTTATCCCTGAGCTACATCCCCAGTCCTATTGATTGATTGATTGATTGATTGATACAGGGTCTTGCTGAGTTGCCAAGACTGGTCTGGAACTTGGCGATTCCCCTGCCTTAGTCTGCTGAGAACTGGGAATACAAGGTTGTGCCACTGTGCCCAGCTAGTTCCTTGAAATTTTAAGGCATGTTTATCAGAGGAAAGTAGACAGGAGGTAGTGTGGTTTGGTGGGAAGTACAAGGTTTTGAGAACCAGCAATTTAGACATAGATTTAATCCTAACTCTGCCATTTACTTGACTATAAAAAGTAGACAAGGTTGTTGCAGGATTAAATAAGATGTGCCCCCAAACACCTGATATATAATTAATCCTTAGTAAATGTTATCATCTTTGTAATTTTGCAAAGTAGGAGACTTCAGTTTTACATGCCTAATTTAAAAACCTTTGGTTATATTAGGGATTATCCAATATCAGTTCATAGGAATCTGCTTCAGAATTAGTTTCAATCAAATATAGTGCATTGACTTAGAAAAGCATATATTGGGCTTCTGTATGTTTTCTGTGTATTCTAGAACATCAAGTTCAACAGATTACACAGAAGCAGCAGTGACCTTTTATGACAGGCCTTCATCAATGACAGGAGGAGATGCTTATAGGGTCAGAAATGAAATCCAATTTAAATAAAATAAATCTCTAGGATTTATTTATTTATTTGCAGCAGGAGTCTCAGAGCTTATTCTGTCAGCAGTTCAAAATAGACTCAAACATAGCTATATTGCACAGTCTGGGATAGCAGACTGTGCGTGGAGTTTATCTCAGGGTACTTATTTTGCCAAATGGCTTGTAAAATTGATAAATAATGGGCTGAGGTTATAGCTCAGTGTTAGAGTGCTTGCCTAGCATGTGTGAGGCCCTGGGTTTGATCCTCAGTACCACATAAAATAAATAAATAAAATAAAGATATTGTATCCATCTACAACTACAATTTTTTTTTTAAATTGATGAATACCTGTTTCTGCTTCCTCTGTTTGCAACATTGTCTGTTGTGTTGACATGACATGCAGTGTTACCTGTGTTGTGATTTGGGAAAAAAGCTGAGGCTAGGATTATGAGAATGTGAAAAACATCAGAAAACCAAGCTGCTTGTTTCTGTATCTTTTCCTGCTAGCCTAAAGAGCTGTGTCTGTGCATCATCTCATAGCCCCCATTGATTGGTCTAGGATGGGCCCTTGCCTCAAACCAAAATAATCAAAATTCTTTTCTGGGGTTTTCCAAATTTGTGCTAGAAGAATTAAGACTGGAAGAGGGAGCCTTAGGTAATAATGCTTGAGAATTCAGTGACCAAGGGATCTGGCTGTGTAGAACACTGCTATGCTGTAATTGAGACAGAGGGGACCTAGTGAGTCACTTGGGCGATTGTGGAGGGAAGACATCCTGGCAGAGACTGATCGAATGCCAGGTTCTAATCATCTCCTGGCATAGCAGCACTCTTACTTTTTTTTGTGATGATATGAATTTTCCCAGGAGCCAGAAGCTCTTTGAACTGGCATAGGCGAAAAGTTGAATTTATTGAATCTTGATAGCACACAATGGGAAGGACAGGAGTGCAGCTGGCTGGATTTGAGAACCAACTGTCTTACTCTACTTGTCTCTGCCTTTCTCATGGATTTAGTTTTCAAAGGAACTTTTCTCAGAAGGTGGGGACCCAGCTCCCAGTAGCTCTCAGCTCACATTTTTTTCATGGCCATCAAAGTGGCTCTTCTGCTTTTCCCCTACTGCCAGATTGAAAAATTCCATAGCAGATCTCTGATTGGTCCAATAAGAACCCTATACGACTCTCTGGGCCAGAGGACCAGCATTGTGATTGATTGTTTGGCCCAGTAAAACCACACTGGCTTCTGGGTACAGACTAATTTCCATAAGAATTGGAGAACAAAAGCTATCCCTAATTAAGAAACAAAGCTATAAATATCCTCTTCAGACAAGAGAAGCCCTATGTGGTTTCATAGCCTTGAGGCTGGACGGGTAGGTCTACATTTAAGAAACCCTGCTAAGGAAGGTAGAATCTACTGTTAATTGATGTGGGAATGCTAGAGGATGAGCAGATTTAGGAAGAGAAATAATGGGTTCAGTTGGTCCCTGCAGCTATTTTCAGAAATGTAGGAAACGTGATAGTTTGCTGATTTTTAAAATTATACATGTGTTTTATTGTGGTGCTGGGGATAGAACCCAGGGCTTGTACATGGTAGGCAAGTGCTGTACCACTGAACTACACCCCTAACCCAGTTTTATGGTTCTTCTACCCAGGCTGTATTTCCATTTGAATCAGAAACCTGTTGCTAGAAGTGATTTTCTCCTCAAAACTCTCTTGACTCTTCTATGTGAATTGAGCCCTGCCACTGATGATGATGTTTCAGAGTTTCTGTTATACACCTAGTGTTGTAGTGGGGACTTTATATATGTCCATGTTATATAATTTAACCATATAGCAATCCTTGAAGCATATTACACGGAGGAAGCAAGTTGAGGTAAGGGATAAAAAATTTGGCTCAAATGCAGGTTTGTCTGATTTATTTATTTAATTTATTACTATTATTTGGTCCTGGGGATTAAACCCAGGGGCAATTTACCACTGAGCTACATCCTTAGCTTTTTAAACAATTTTTATTTTGAGATAGGGTCTTACTAATTGCTTTGGGCCTTACTCCATTACTGAGAAACTTCTGGTGAAACTTCTGATCCTTCTATCTCAGCCTCCTCCATTGTTGGGATTACAGGCATGCACCACCAAGCCCAGCCACGTCTGTCTGATATGAAAGAAGGTGAGGCTCTTCCTATTACCTTATACTGCTCCATTATTTAATGTTACTGCTAATACATCAATACTACTATTAATAATGTTAAACTTTTATCACTGTTCTTAGGCACTATATTAGGCACTTTAGATGAAATACCTTATTTAATCTTTAAAAGTATTTTCAATTTATTACTAGGAGAATTAAGGCTTGAGGTTCTGTAACTAGTAAGTGAGGAAGCCAGCATTTTTTAGTGCTAGAGACCATCTATAAACACTATTTTCTACTGCCTGTAGTTCCCCAAGTAAAACTTATATATGATAGAGTTCCAAGTCAGCTGTTGCTGTCATGCTCCCTTTAGCAGTTTACTACATGGTAAAATGGTAAAGCTGGTAGAAGTTTCCTCCCACAATCTTCAATGCTTTCTTTCCTTTTTCTATTATTATTATTTATTATTTTGGTACTAAGGATTTAACCCAGAGGCATTTTACCTTTGAGGTACATCCCTGGTCCTTTTTTGGAAAAAATTAAATTTAAAAAATTTAAAGGTAATTTTATTTTATTTTTGAGACAGTGTCTTGCTAAGTTGCTGAAGGTCTTGCTAAATTTCTCAGGCTGGCCTCAAACTTGCAATCTCCTGCTTCAGCCTACCAAGTTGCTGGGATTACAGGTAGGTGCCACTGTGCTCTGTTCTTTCCTTGGTTTTAAGGTTTAGGAGAAAGGAAAAGCAATTCAATTCACAAGGTTGGGGTCTCCTTTGAAAGACACGATTAAAACAGTCCCAGTACTGATAAACTACAATGCAAACTGAATGAATGATTTCTCAATGTTATATTTATTAAAGACTTTATTTTCTCAAGAACCACATTTCTTTTTTTCACCAAAGTTTCCTGTTATTTAAACATATAAAGATCTTAAGGTTGCCTTTATATCTGGAGAACTTCACTCTGAATCATGTAACTGGCTTGGATGTGGTAAGTAATAGCAGAATAAAAAGCCCCCAGGTCAGTACATTTGTGCTGCCTAATTTAGTAAGCATTCATTGGTTAACTCTTTTTTTTTTTTTGTACTGGGGATCAAACCCAGCAGTGCTTAACCACTGAGATATAGTCACAGTTTATTTTTTTATTATTTAATTTTATTTCCAGATAGACTGGCTAAATTGCTGAGGTTGGGCTTGAATTTATGATCCTCCTGCCTCAGCCTCCTGAGTTGCTGAGATTACAGGCATGTGGCCGCCACACCTACTGGTTATTCCTGTTAGTGAATAAAATTATGATAAAAGAGATAATATTGCTTACTTATTAGGTTTATCACTAATGTTTGTGTACTAATGTAAAACTCTATGCTGCCATACCCTGCCTTGGCCTGCTGTTTCTCGGATGTGATGTCTGGCTATTTATCAGGTTCTTCCTCCATATCTGATGAAAATCCCAATTGTATTTTCAGCCTATGGATTACCCACTGGTTTCACTGTTTTAAAGAGTGGGAGTTGGACAGTTCCTTTCCATTTGTTCTTTTCTATATTTGGTACTGGGTATTGAACTCAGAGATAATTTATCATGGAGCTACATCCACAGTCATTTAATTTTTTTCTTTATTTTGACACAGGGTCTCGCTGAATTGCTGAGGCCGGTTTTAGAATTGTAATTCTCCTGCCTCAGGCTTTCAAGCCACTGGTATTATAGGTGTGTACCACCATGCCTGGCTATAGTTTTATTGAAAAGAGCAAAAATGTTATGAAGAGTTAAAATTCATTAATATTTATTATATGGGTTATTTTGAAAAAACTTTTCTGCATGCTTACTTCTGATAGAATTTGGGTCAAAGGAAGATGATTACAAGACAGCTTCAGCAATTTAGCAACCTAGTGAGATCCTGTCTCAAAATCAAAAATGACCTCTTCAACAAATGATACTGGGAGAACTGGAAATCCATATGTAGCAGAATGAAATTGAACTCCTATCTCTCACCCTGCACAAAACTGAACTCAAAGTAGATCAAGGACCTAGGCATTAGAACAGAGACCTTGTGCCTACTAGAAGAAAATGTAGGCCCAACTTTCCATCATGTCAGCTTAGGAACCAGCTTCCTCAACAAGATTCCTAAAGCACAAGAAGTAAAATCACAAATCAATAAATGAGATGGTATCAAACTGAAAAGCTTTTTCCCAGCAAAGGAAGCAATCAAGAATGTAAACAGAGAGCCTACAGAATGAGAGAAAATATTTGCCACCTGCACTTCAGATAGTGCATTAATCTCCAGGATATATAAAGAACTCAAAAAATGTAACACACACACACACACACACACACAAACAATCTAATCAATAAATGGGCAAAGGAACTGAACAGGCACTTCACAGAAGAAGAAATATCACTGGTCAACAAATATATGATGGGCTGGGGAGGTGGCTCAAGCGGTAGCGCGCTCGTCTGTCATGAGTGTGGCCCAGGTTCGATCCTCAGCACCACGTACAAAGATGTTGTGTCTGTGAAAACTAAAAAATAAATATTAAAAAACAAACAAAAAAACCAAATATATGAAAAAATGTTCAACATTTCTAGAAATTACAGAAATGCAAATTAAAACTATATTGAGATTCCATCTCATTCTATTCAGAATGGCAATTATCAAGAATACAAGTAACAATAAATGTTGATGAGGATGTGGGGAAAAATGTACACACATACATTGCTGGTGGGACTGCAAAGTGGTGCAACTGTTCTGCAAAGCAGTATGGATATTCCTTAGAAAACTTGAAATGGAACCACCATTTGACCTAGTTATCCCGCTCCTCAGTACATACCCAAGAACTTAAAATCAGTGAACTACAGTGGCACAGCCACATCAATGTATATAGCAGCTGGATTCACAATAGCTTGAGCTATGGAACCAACCTAGGTACTGTTCAATGAATGAATGAATAAAGAAAAGGTGGCATATATATACACCATGAAATATTACTCAGCCATAAAGAAGAATGAAATTATGGCATTTTCCAGTAAATGGATGGAACTGGAGACCATCATGCTAAGTGAAATAAGCCAATCCCAAAAAACCAAAGGTCAAATGTTCTTTCTGATGTTAACACACAGTAAAGGGTAAGGAGAAGATAGAATTTCACTGGATTAGACCAAGGGGAATGAAGTGAAGGGTGAGGGATGGGAATAGGAAAGAATGAATTGGACATAACTCTCCTATACTCATGTATGAATACGCAACCAGTGTAACTCCACATCACATTAAACCATAAGAATGGGATCTAATTAGAATAAGTTATACTCCATGTATGTATGATATATCAAAATACATTCTACTGTCATGTATATCTAAAAAGAACACATAAAAATAAGTAAATATTAAAAATGAAAATAAAAGAAGGGCTGGAGATCTGGGTCAGTGGTTAAGCACCCTTGGGTTCAATCCCAAGTACCCAAAAAACAAAAACAACCCCCCAAACCAAAAAACACTACGCTGTTATTTAATAGTCATCAATTCGTGTATTTTATTTATTCATCAATTATCAACAAATGTTTATTTTGGAGATGAATAAGATGTGTGCCTTATTCATGAACTTACCTAATTGAGCTGTTTACACACTTCCATTTACCTTCTTGAAAAATGCTTAGAGTTTGGGTTAAAATTTCTAAAAAGAGGGCCGGGGTTGTAGCTCAGTGGTAGAGCGCTTGCCTAGCATGTGTGAGGCACTGGGTTTGATTATCAGCACTGCATAAAAATGAATGAATGAATAAATAAATAAATAAATGTCCATCAACATCTTGAAAAAATATTTAAAAAATTTCTAAACAGAGACTCACTTCTTAGGTCTTGTGATACAACAAAAGCAATATGTGTATATACGTGTGTATGTACACACACACACACATATAAATATACATATTTTTTCTTGAGTATTTCGGGAAATAATGTGTTGTCTTTGATGCGAGGAGTAGATTATTTGAGTCAGGTGAACCGTTAAGCATGCTTGACGGCCTCGAGGGAGAGTTCTCTGCCGAACAGATGTCAGATATTTATAGGAATATTATGACATTTCGTGAGACTTTGCAATATTGGTGCAAAGACTATCGGTCTAGGTAATTTTTCCAAACTTTATATCCGAAAACACATATAATTTTCTGAGCTTACGTGGCTATGCAAGTATAAGGGATAAGTATAAAGCACAGGCTATCTAGTTTTCCGAAAGAAAATACTACTATGAATTATTGAATAGTACACAGGTATAAATCTTGATTGTTTCCAGACAGAAAAAAATATGGAATTTATCTTCCCAATTGTGGGTACCTTGAAAAGTGCAACTAGGAGCATAGCATATAACTGAAAAAGCCCTCTTGTAGATTCCAAGGTTATTGAGCTGCCTTATCTAAGGTTCAGACCAAACCCGAGGAACAGGATTTGAGAACTCGCTGCCGGAACGTTTCTGTTGTAGCACTTAGTTCCTAGCCGGTGCTCTTTCGCGAAGGGACGGTCCCGGCTAGGTGCCTGTTGGTAGGAACCCACTTGGCGACGGGTCTGTGGGGTTCTTGAGGTGTTGGTGTCCAGAGCAGAGTCGGGAGAGTCAGTAGGTAGAGGAGACACCATGGACGATCAGGGCTGCCCTCGGTGTAAGACCACCAAATACCGGAACCCCTCTCTGAAGCTGATGGTGAACGTGTGCGGACACACTCTGTGAGTCTGGCGGCAGTAAATTGTTGGGGGAGAGACACGGGGTGGGAGGAGAGTAACCGGGAGATGTTCGGCCTCGGCTCCGGCTCCGGCAAGTAAAGGGCGTCATTAATTTCATAACTGAGGAGAAAAATGGGAAAAGAGAGTGGTTGCTCCTTTAAATGGCCTATAACCGCTGGCCTTAAGCGGCTCTGGCCTGCTTTGAACTGCGGATCCTCCCTACCCCCAGTTAGTGAAAATCCCGACTGCATTTCCAAACTTCGTGTTTCAGCTGGGCTCTAGTCATTCCTGGTTAAAAGTGTGGGGAATTGGAGTGTTTAATTTCATATGAAATGTTTTTATTGAAAAGACTAAAAATGCTATGAAAGCTTATAATCACTGAGTGATTATATTGCTGCTATAGATTGTATGAGTAAATTGGAAAACTTTGTAAGTTTACTTGTCCTCATGGATTCAGTTGGACTTTAATCACTAAAAGGAAGAAAATGTAGACTCTAGGCAGTTATTTTTGTATATAAAATAATGACTGACATTTATTGAGTGGAAATTACATGCCAGGCATTTTTCTGAGCTCTTACCATGAATTATCTCACTTAATTGTCAAAACAGCCTTATGAAGTAGGTATTGATATCATTCCCATCTCACAGGGAAGGAAGACCAAGTTTGAGCATGACCCCTTATTAAGTGGGTCCTGTGAGATCTGGAGCCCATTAAGTATGACTCTAGAGTGTCCATTTCCGTGGAGTGATGGTGGTGAAGGGAGGGAGGTTGAATGTGTATTTTGAAGAATAAGTGTAGGAATTGATCAAAGGGGTTCTTGTCAGGTTTTCTTGGTCAAATGTGGTTCAGTAAAAGTGGTTCTAAAAAAAACCCACACATTTTTGGATTAAATGTACTATATAATGGTGAGCACATATTATATTCCTGTATTTTCTCTGAAAGGTTTCTTTTTTATTCTTTTTTAAAAAAATTTTTGGTTGGTGCTGGGTGCCAAACCTAGGCCTTGCCAAGCAAGGCAGGCTTTTCTACTGCCACATCTCTGTCCATTCCTAGTTTCTTTTTCTTTTTTTTTTTTTGATAATGGAGATTGAATCTTGAGGCCTTTTACCACTGAACCACAGCCCAGCCCTTTTTGTTTTTTTATTTTGAGACAAGGTTTCACTGAGTTGCTGAGGGCTTCACTAAGTTGCTGAGGCTGACTTTGAACTTGTAATCTTCCTGCCTCAGTCTCCCAAATTGCTGGGATTACAGGTATGCACCACTGTGGGTGGTGGGGATGATCTACAGTATGGTGGACAAGGTCATTAGGTATGCATAAATTGTATGATGGCTATAGTTTTGTTATAGTGGGGGTTTTAATTTGATTGCCTTTTGTAACTAATCTTTATTTTCCTTTGCTTTACATAGTATTGTTAGCTGTGAGAATAGTTTTTAAGATTAGAAATATAGTAAAAGTAATCAAGTGGAATGTTTGGAAAAAGGGAGTAAGGCAAACACTGTAGATAGACTATTAGGTTTTTAGAAAAGTTTGGTTTGGTTTTTCTCTATATTCCTGTGCCAGGTGCTAATGGAAAGGGAGTTTGTTCTTTTGGATGGTTATGGAGTGTAATTTTCTGGCCAAGCAGAAATTAACCAATCAGGAATATATGGGATTTCAGTTAAGAAAAGGCATTTGATTGGACAATTATTAAATAATAGTTTAAATTAGAAATTGCTTTTGTTGTATTCTTGTTTAGTAGGGAAAGGGGAAGGAAGCAGAGAGGGGAAGAGAGAAGGCGGGGGTGGGGCAAGAGAACTGAAAGCCATAGAACCTTTTAAAACCTAGTGGCAGAAGTGATTTACCACCATTATTTCTGCAATGGGTTTGTGTGTGTGTGTGTATGTGTGTGTGTGTGTGTGTGTGATGTCAGGGATGGAATCCAGAGCCTTGAGCATGCTAAGCATCTGCTTTACAGTCCATCCTCCTCAGCTGCATTTTGTTATACTAACTAACCTTGTTGAAACATTGGAGGTATTTACTATGAGGCAGGGCTAGTCAGTCAATTTTGAAGACTGGCTTCTGCATGATTTTGTTAACTTATTATTTTTTTGCTCAGGTCTTCAAGTAGTAAAGACATTTTAGGAAGCAAGTGATAAAGTGAGATAGAAAGTATGATTTTGGAAAGACTAATTAGAAATAATGTTTATGGAAAAAATACAGTAGTGGGAAGGAGAGAAAATAAAGAGATAAGACATTATGCAAATATTTTTCTCCCTTAGTTTCTAGCAATTGAAGAAGTATATTTTTTTATGTATCAGTTCAGTCCACCATAATTGACTATATGCACATAGAAGATTGGATTTATTTTTTTTCTTTTTTCAACGTAAGTATGAACTTTGTATCAGATGCAGAAAAGAGCATGTTTTTTTTTTCTTTAGCATGCCCCCCTATTTCAAGAAATAGGCCTTCCATAGAATTCTAAAGGCTGATTATTAAATTTTTTAACTACAGTCTTTAATAATTTATTTCTGCTCTAGCTATTCTTGGTAAAACTTTTCTCTGGAAACTGTACATGCATCTGGTTTTACTAAATATATATGTTTTTCATTTTAAATATATATAAAAGACACAAAGTGATAAACAAAATAATTTACCTACCATTGTGAAAATTAGTATTTTGTCATATTTATTTAAATTCATTCTCTTTCTTTCTTTTTTCTATGTTCCTATTTTTCCTCCCCCTCTCTCTTATGCATTGATGGTATGAATAGTTTGTGCTGGAGTTATCCTTGAAGAGCCTGAATTTTGCTTATTGCATCTATTTGGTATTGTTTGATGTGTTCCTCTGTCTTCCTTTTTCCTCCAAATTGTTAGTTATATTTAGAAGTTTATCAGATTAGGATTCAGTTTATTTGTTGGTAGTAATTAATTGGTATTAATTCATTATTTCAACTAATATTTAGTCCCTTTGTGCATATTAGGAAACAGAACCCCTGCAGAAACATTTGGAAAGGGCACTCATCCAAGGTGTTTGGTTTCCATTGACTGCTTTCTTATCTCTTTACTATAGTTCACATTTATCTATTTGTTTTATTTTTTCTGGTACTGGAAATCTAATCCCCAGAGATGCTTCACCACTGAGTTACATCGCCAAACCTTTTTTATTTTTTATTTTGAGACAGGAGCTGGGTAAGTTGCTTAGAGCCTCACTAAATTGATGAGGCTGTACTCAAACTTGTAATCCTCCAGACTCAGCCTTGAAAGTTGCTGGAATTTATAGGAGGAATTACAAGGCATGTACCACCAAACCCATTGTTTAATACTTTTTAATTGTAGATGATGCATTATAGAGATGCTGGATTTTTTTTTTTAAATGCTTTGCTAGGTATTGAATGAAGGACCTCATGCATACTAGGCAAACATTCCACCACTGAGCTGTATCTCCAACCTGAAACTTATAATCTTTAATTCCTTGCAAAACTTATTGGGACTTGAATTTGTGCTTTGTTAGGGTGAGTCTAGAGTAAGTCTTATTCTAGGATATGGAGCTTACCTTAGTTGAGGCATTTTTGGTATCTCATTTTGGTATCTCTGAGCATGTTAATGTGGTTTTTCTGCTCTGGCCTGTAGGAACTCTGAAGTAAACCAGTACTCCTTAACTTCTAGTATGGATTTCTCTCTTAGACACTCTCTTAAGCCTTGATTGGTTTTGACTTTCTCAAATGCATCCTAATCCTTGGCCAGAAATTTATATTGGACCCCCACACATATCACTCCTCTGACTTGTGGATTTCAATCACAGTAATTACCCTGACCTCTAATCTTTGCTCATTTAGTTAAGGACAACTGCTGTGCCTTTCTTAAACTTTTTTTTTTTTTTTTTTTTGCTGGGTCATGGTCATGGAAATTGTCCCCAGGTAGAAAGCTGAGGCATTGTAGGACTTATATTGTAAGTTTCTTTTCTTTTCTTTTTTGGCATTGTTGGGGATCCATCTAGGGCTTCAAGCATGGTAAGCAAGTCCTGTACCACTGATCTACACCCTTAGCCCCATGAATTGCCCATCTTTCAGAGTTGGATATCTTATACTGCCTGTTGTCTAATGCCTGTATAAACAATTTTCTTATATAATATGTTTGTTTTATGGTTGCGTATAGTGGGAATATTAGTTTTGCATGAGTTACTTAATCATATTTGTTAGGAAAAGGTTGGCCTTATATTTTTAAGTAATTATTTCTTCCTGTGGTCTTGCAGATTTCTCAAGTCTTTGTACACATGTTCCCTTTTCTTTTTAAGCTCAAAATTGGCAGTTGTTTGTGTCTCTTTAGCTTGTGTCTCTTTTTCTGTTGTAGTTCTGATTACCTTTTTACTATGTCAGCTCGTTCTCTAATACTTTCCTAAGAATTTTTAAAAAATTGAGTATTTTGAAGTTGATTAGCAAAATCTGTGGAATAGCTCATATCGTCTGAATGGTAATTACGATGAAGATCTCAAAGCACATCTCCTGAAGGAGGTGAGTTTTGCTTTTACCACAGAAGACATGGGGTTCCATGTATTTTAATAGTCGAGAGACAGATTGAGAAGTTGAAAGAATACTGAAGCACTAGTTAGAAAGTCTAGTTTTTAGTTTTGCCATAGACTAGTCAATTGTAAGCTGTCCGTTTAATGTCTATTTATAATAGAAAATTTGTAGTCCCCGTCAAACATTTGGGTAATTTTTCCCCCCAGTACTGGAGATAGAAATCAGGGGTGCTTTATCTCTGAGCTACATCACTATCTCTTTTTATTTTTGTTTTGAGACATGATCTTACTAAGTTACTGAGGCTAGCCCTGAACTTGTTATCCTCTTGCCTCAGCCTCCTTAGTAACTACTGGGATTATAGGTGTGTGCCACTGTACCATGATACATTTGGGTAACTTAATAGTTATTGAGAAATTTATTGTAGTCAGTAACTGTAGTCTTTCCTTTGACCATATATCATTACTAAAACTCTAGGATATTAAACTCTAGGATATGTATAGAT